CATCAACATTATAACAAAATGACATTGAACAAAATGATGTTATACGAGGACTTGCTGTATTTGGCCATATGAGTTCGAAGAGGTGGCATCAGCAATGTTCTGAAGGGCACCAAACACTTCTAAGGTTTGTTTATGGCCCCACATTTCTATCTCAATTTGAAAATAAATCTCTCCTATGTAGCCTGGTCAAATAAAAATGTGTTATAACAGTAATTATTTCAAATAATTCATGTCAGAGTGGTAGAAGAAATCCAAAAGGTGTTTATATTGGAAAGTCTACCCCAAATTCACATCACTCTAACCACTTTCCCCTCCGTCTGCCCTAGCCCCTGATTGCATATGTAGTTGAAGTAAAGATACAATATGGTACAGGGATTTAAGGTCATTCTAATTTCTGTTTTCATTACAACTACCATAAGGCATATGAGAAGACAAGCATTTCCTGGCAAGCAACATTTTTTTTTTTTTCATCATCAGCAAAAGAGGAAAACATAAATATGGTGTAGGGAAAAATAACCTCTGGAAAGACCATAAAGTTGCCTTAATTCAGAAACAAAATGTGTGTATCCCCTGTTCCATGAATTCCCCCATACTATTAGCTATTGGAAGATGAGGACGAAAGCTGAAGATAGACAGGTAGTGTTTGGAACTAAGGGAATGGAGTGGTGAGCACCAATCAACCTGGGCCCCAAACATAATTTTACTGTGGACAAAGAAAGCCCTGTTCAAGAGTTGTAAGGGTTAAAATGATTACTGAGATGTGGCCCCTGCTCCTTGGAAGATGCAAAAAAGTATAATAAAAACCATTCTTTTGTGTAAGTTTTTAGTAACATGAAAGTTAAGTCTTGCATTTTTTGCTAACATGACATTTTAAAATGTCTTTTATTACCAATGAGGGTAACTGTTCAGGATAAACACATTTTTGTGTGATAGTTTCAGCATCCTGTCCCCAGAGGATCTTAGCTTTGTTTCTGAAAACCCATAAAATAAAGGTGGAATCATAGTCATTGGCAGTCTTTCTGAGGGGTCCCAAAGTGTGAATAATTTAGTCTCAAACACAGTAGATATATGTGCAAAAACAGCAAAATGAATCTGTGTCTATCCAGGGAAACAAAAATCTATTTCTTTTGTTATCTATTAATACACGTGCCATCATTAGCACTGCAGTGGCACCTCTGTTTGATGGTGCATTTTCTTTCTTTCTTTTTTTTTTTTTGAGATGGAGTCTCATTCTTGTTGTGTGAGCCTGGAATTCCAGGCTGGAATGCAATGGTGTGATCTTGGCTCAACCTCTGCCTTCCGGGTTCAAGTGATTCTCCTGCCTCAGTCTCCCAAGTAGCTAAGAGTACACGCACCCACCGCCACACCGGGCTAATTTTGTATTTTTAGTAGAGACGGGTTTCACCATGTTAGCCAGGCTGGTCTTGAACTCCTGACCTCAAGTGATCCACCCACCTTGGCCTCTCAAAGTGCTGGGATTACAGGCGTGCGCCATCACACCTGGCCTGATGGTGCACTTTTTTTTTTTTTTTTTTAGATAATTTCCTCTGCTTTGTGGGAAATCAGTAAGTGCTCTTCTTTTGGTGTCTTAGTCCATTTGAGCTGTCACAACAAATTACCGTAGACTAGATGGCTTAAATTATTAACATTCCTGTCTCATCATTCTGGTGGCTAGATCTCTGAGATGAGGGTGCTAGCATGATGGAGTTCTAGTAAGAGACCTCTCCTGGGTTACAGACTGCTGACTTCTTATATTTTCACATGGCAGAAAGAGGGTGTGAGAGCTCTCTGGGATCTCTTTTACAAGGGCACTAACTCCACACATGAGGGCTCCACCCTCATGACCTAATTACTTGCTGAAGGCCCGACATCTTAATACCATCACTTTGGGGGTTTGGATTTAAACACATAACATTCAGTTCCATAACACATGTGCATAATTCTCCCACCCTCAGAGAATAGCTAAAGTGGTCATGGAGGCTGCTCTCAATGTTCTAATGCCAGGTTTTCTCTTGTTAACATCTCTTTCACCCAGCTACTCCCCTTTAAATCATATCCCACATCTAACTGCTTCTGGCCACCTCCACTGCTCTAGTTCTGGTCCAAGCTGCTAGCAGGGCCGACCTGCAGTATTGCAACAGCCTCACTGTTGGGTTTTCTGCCCCTGCCCACTTTAGTCAATTATTGCACTGCAGCCAAAGGCAAGAATATAGCAAGTATCCCACTTTTGGGTGTTTAAGCTTGTTAATATGTAAGTCAGAACAGGTCACTCCTCCGCTTTAAACCCCCAGGGGTCCCCCATTTCACTCACCAGAAATCAGGCACCTTCAAAGGCTTTTAAAACTCTGCAAACTGACTCTTCATTATTTCTCTGTCTTCATCTACTACTAGGTTCCCCCTTGACCACATGTGCCACATCCTGGCCACCTCCTTGCTGATCCAAAAATATGGTCATGCTCTTGCCTCAGGGCCTTTGCACATTCCTCTGTCTGAAGCTCTTCCTCCCAAATGTCCCCACAACACAACTTACTCCCTCCTTCCCTTGGGGATTTACTCCACTGTCACCCTTCCAATCAGGCCTACCCTGACATCCCTACTTAAAATGGTGATGCTCCCCTCATTTGTTATCTCCCCACCTCTGCCTTATATCCTCCATGGTACTTCCAGCATGCTGTGTATTTATTTATGTGTTGTGTTTATTTTAGAATGCTTGATCAATAAGGGAAAGGATTTTTGATTCCTTTTTTGCTGTTGTATTCTCAGTGCTTAGAACAGAGACTGGCATTTGGAAGGCTCTTAGAAATATTTGTTAATTAGATTAATGAAATGGGGAACAGCAAGTTCTTTCTCGCACGAAGGTACAGGAGATGACGTGCCTTATATACTCTCCTTCCTTCATCCCTTACCCTTAATCCCTTCTCAGCTTACATGTACTGCTTAGTTCTTAAATCTGATATTTCTTGGAAGTGACATGACCAGGGACCACATTCTAGTTGCAGTCTGCAGTGTTAGTTCTTGGACTAAAAGGGCACACCTAGCATTGCAGAACACAGAATTTCGGTAGTGGCAAATCCATTTTAATGTCTTTTCTGTGTCTTGAACATATTTGTATGGCTGGCATTCCTAGGTCACCTTAGAACAGTTCTCCCTGTTTAAGAAGCCATTATTGAAATTTGGGATTCAGTGTCTTGAAGGTCCATGACAAATACCGAAGACAGTCTCCCTGGATTTTGTAGGTATTTTTAGGTTAGGCCTACTCCCTCAGTGAAGCACTGTTATCATAATGTAGGTGCATGGATTTCAGCTACATACTTGTCAAAAGAGTGATATTTCCTATATTCTGATCTACTTCTTGCCTGGATAACCCATTGACAGGATGAAGAAGGCATTGGTAATAAGTAACTGGAATAGTTTGAGTAAGACTCTGAAAGAAAGGCCCACAAGAGGAATATGTTTTGAAGGGAAAGTGGGAGCAGGTCAGAAGCTTAGGGTGTAAATCAAGCTGATTGGGGCAGCCAGGCAATAGCCTGGCACTAATTGCCAAGCCTGGCACTTCACAAATATCACAGAACACATGATGAGCCAAGCACTTTACAACTGACTTAGGCTAAGGTCTTCATTGAGGAAATTGAGGCCTTAAAGGGGGAAGTAGCTGGGCAGCAGGACGGGCACTGAAATTAAACTTCCAAGTTTTGCTCAGGGCCTGCTGATCCAGAGTAGAGGCAACGTGCCACCTCAGACTAGCTCAGGGTCTGCCTACAGTGTGGTAGGACCATGGAAGCCTGGCAAATCCCTGCAGGGAAAGAAGGGATCCCAGGTTTCAGTGGGCTCTGAGTGCATCTTCCCAAGCAAAGCTGTCAGGCCACATCCCAGACTGCAGTTCATCTCCTTAAGGCTAAGATGAAGGTTGAGCAAGGGATGGTGCAATTCTGGGTTGGGGAGGTTGAGGACCTGCAGGTGAAACAATGGCTTAGGTGGAAACGCTCCCAAAGTCAGAGCTGCTTGCAGTTAATGTTCCTGCTGCAGCTGTTCTAGACAATGGTACTGAAAGGCTGAGTGTGGGTGAGTTCTTTCTTGACCCTGACTATGTGAAGGGCCTCTTTTTAAATGTTTCGGACTTCATCATCATGCTTTGCACATTAGCATTCTTGAATCTTCTATTTTTGGTGACTTCTAGCCAACAACAAGCCCTCTCATTTCTGCACAATTGCCTCATGGCTTGAGTTGAAATCCCACATAGCAGAGGCAGGGGTGGTATTCTTGCTTCACAAGGGCTTATTTTCTGTCCATGCAGCTCCCTTCAGTGTGTCAGCTCTGGGCTTGCCCCTCTGCTACTCCAGCCTCCTGGTTAGGCAGCCTGCTTTGTTCTGTGGTTTCTGTTCACACAGGACAGATAGTAAGGACACTGCAGCTTTGTGGATAAAGGAAGAACAAAAACTTTAAGAGAATGTCCCCATTAGTGCTGATCTCCTTGTCTCACCAACTCCCTTTACAGCCCAGTGACTTTCATGGCCCAAAGCTGTCAAAAGGCTTCTCCAGAAAGATGAAACAAGCCTGGACAGGGCCAGGATTGGCAGACATCAGTTTAGTATTCTCCGGATGTTCTTTAGTAACATTGCAAGATCTGAGCTGGATTTGCTAGAGCTCTTCTCAGATTATCCTTATCTTTAAAGGCTTCAAATCAAGGCAACACAGCTACAAAGAAGAAACTCTGGTGTTGGGCTTCAGAGGTCTGTTTTAACGTGTTCTTTATTAACATGTTGTTTTCTGACCAATTCCAAGGTGGTATGGTTTGGATCTGTGTCCCCACCCAAATCTCATGTTCAGTTGTAATCCCCATCATTGGAGGTGAGGCCTGGTGGGAGGTGACTGGATCATGGGGGCAGTGTTCTCATGAATAAGGTAGCACCATCCTCCCTGTGCTGATCTCATGGTAGTGAATGAGTGAGTTATCACGAGATGTGGTTGTTTAAAAGTGTGTACCCCCCACCCCTGTCTAGGACCTGCTACTGCCATGTAAGAAGCCTGCTCCCACTTTGCCTTCTGCCATGAGTAAAAACTCCCCAAGGCCTCCCCGGAAGCAGATTCTGCCATGGTTCCTGTGCAGCCTGTGGAGCAGCGAGCCAATTAAACCTCTTTTCTTTATAAATTACCCTGTCTCAGGTATTTCTTTATAGCAGCGTGAGAAAGAACAAATACACAAGGAAAACCCAAAGATGACTAAACGTCAAAGACTAGGTTTTTAATGAAATAGGAAAATAATAGAGATAAATCATCCGAAACCAGAGAGATAAAAGTCAATTTAAGAAAGTTCTTTAAGTCCATGAGGGGGATTATCTGGAAGTTGGGGCTTTGTCATTTTCAATTCCATTTAGGGACAAAGTAAAAAGAAAATGGCTCATATTAATAGAGTGATTCAATGTAAAAGAGCTCATTTAATACTTAGAGAGGTTCCTGGGAGATACTATTGGATTTCTTTCTTTAGTGATATATTGATGTATAGATTTAATGCAATCCTGGAATAGGTAACAATCTTGAAAAAGAAGAACAAAGCTGGAGGACTCACACTTCCAGACTTCAAAACTTACTACAAGGCTGTTGTCACCCAGACAGTGTGGCACTGGCATAAGAATAGACTTACGAACAAAATTGAGAGTCCAGAAAGAAACCCATACATTATACCACAAGTTGTTAATGCATCCATCTGTTCATAGACATTTGGGTTGCTTCTAGCTTTTGGCTATTACAAGTAAGACTTGTGTGAACATTTGTGTACAAGTCTTTATATGAACATGCTGTCATTTCTCACGAGAGTGGAATGGCTTTGTCATATAGTAAGTATATGTTTAACCTTTTTTTGCATTTTTATTGTGACAAAAAATATATAAGTTTGCTATTTTAGCCATTTTGAAGTGTATAGTTCAGAAGTGTTAAGTATATTCACATTGTTGTGACATATAATAGATATTCAGATTTCTCATCTTGCAAATCAGGTACTCTATAGCCATTAAGCAGCATCTCTCCTTTTCCTCCTCCTCCCCATCCCCTGGTAACTACTATTCTACTCTGTTTCTATGAATTTGACAACTTTACATACCTCATATAAGTGGAATCACAGTATCTGTCTTTTTGTGACTGGCTTATTTCACTTAGTATAATGTTCTCAAGGTTCATTCATGTCGTAACATGTGACAGAATTTCCTTTCTTATAAAGTTGAATAATATTCCATTGTCTGTTTATATCACATTTTGTTTATCCATCTACCCATCCGTGGACATTTAGGATGCTTCACTTCTTGGCTATTGTGAATAGTGTTGCTATAAACATGGGTGTGGAAATATCTGTTAGTATACAATTACTTCTTAAGAAACTGCTAAACTCTTCCCTAAAGTGGATGTACCAAATTTTATTCATACACAACAGTGTATGAAAGTTTCAGTTCTTCCATATCCTCATCATTTGGGTGTGGTCAGTCTTATTAACTTTAGCTATTCTAATAAGTGTGCAGTGGTATCTCATTGCAACTTTAATTTGCACTTCCCTAATGACTAATGATGTTGAGCATTTTTTCACATGCTTATTGCTATCTTTGTATCTTCTCTGGGAAGACTGAGGACATTTAGGTGAAACAATGACTTGGGTGAAAACTCCGAAAGTCAGAGCTACTTGTGAAGTTTCCTGCTTCAGCTGTTCTAGACAATGGTACTAAAGGGATGAGTGTGGGTGTGCTCTTTCTTGACACTGACTATGATAATGACCCTCTTTTTAAATGTTTTGGGCTTTATCATCTATTCAATCTTTTGTGCATTTTTGAAATCGGGTTGTTTACTTTCTTACTATTGAACTTGAGAGTTCTTTATAGAGTCTTGATTCAAGTCCTTTATCAGATTTATGGCATCTGATATGATTTCAAATATTTTCTCCTGGTCTGTTGCCTGTCTTTTCATTCTCTTAACAACACACTCAAAACTCAGAAGTTTTAAGTTTTATAAAATTCAAACGATCAATTTTTAAAAATGAGTCATACATTTGGTGCCATATCCAAGAAATCTTTGTGTAATGCAAGATCGCAAAGATTTTTCCTGTGTTTCCTTCTGGAAGTTTTGTACTTGTGGGTTCATCTTTAGGCCTATGATCCATTTAAATTAACTTTGGTATGTTGTGCAGAATGTGGATCAAAATTTATATTTTTTCATGTGGTTATTTAATTATTACCGCATATTTTGTTGTAAAAAACTGTTCTTTCTCCACTGAATTGCCTTTGTAATTTTGTTGAAAGTTGGTTGTCCATATGTGTGTGAGTCTATTTCTGAACTCCCCATTCTGTTCCGTTGACCTGTCTTTACACCATTGCCACACTGTTTTGATTACTGTAGCTTTACAAATTAAAATCAGAAAGCATTAGTCCTTCAATGCTGTTCTTGTTTTTCAAAGTTGCTTTGCTTATTCTAGGTCCTTTGTACTTTTATACAAATTTTAAAATCAACTTATCAATTTCAACAAAAATAGCCTACTGGAACTTTAATTGAGATTGCATTGAATCTATAAGTCATTTTAGGAAGAACTGATGTCTTACCAGTATTGAGTCTTCTGACTCATGAATATGCTATATCTCTCCATTTATTTCAAAATTTATTTTTCTCAGCCACGTTTTATAGTTTTATTTCATATATCTTCCACATATTTTATCAGATTTACCCTTATGCATTTCATATTTTTGATGCTAATAATGGTAATTTAAAAATTTTATATTTCCAAATATTCATTGCTAAGCTGGTCTGGGTTTCAACTTTTAAATTTGTCTTATTAGATAGTTCTGTATCCTCTCTCATTACTACTGGGTGAGCAGCTAAAGGGTGCTTATTTATTTTTAGAAACATATTGGCCAAATCCTACTTGCTTGGGCCTGGGAAAGGAAAGATTGGACCTGAGTTGTTTTCACTACCTCCGTGCAGGCAGAATCCTTCCCTGATACCCTTGTATAAAGACAACACTTCCATGTGGTTCTTTTCTGGAGCCTTCCGATTCTCTGCCATCCAAACAAAACCCACAGAGACTGAGCTCCTGGCACAACTGTGACCACTGTGCTAATCACTTGACTTTGGCTACTGAAGGTCATAGAGCTGCCTGGAAGGAAATGGGGCACGGACGGCAGGTGGCCCTGCCAGAGCAGCTGAAAAAGTGCTCTATTCGTGACAGATTGTACATCACGAACCATAGTGACAGCACAGCATACCTGTCAGCCCCATGGCAGGCCGATTAGGTTAATTACGGTTTTTGTCTTCAAGCATAATTGCTAGAACTGTCAGCAACATCAGTGATGCTAAAATGAAGAATCATATTTAGAGAGTGACACAGAAGTTCCGAAAGAATGCTTGTGCAAACATAGAAGGCTAAGAGGCAGTGGATTCATTTCAACCCCAGAACAACCTGATTCAAAAATATTGGGGGAAAAAAGCAATCATGTTCAGTGGAGTTTATAGTGCTCTGAAAGCATATCTGACTAACATACAGATGATACCTTGGAGGTTATCTTAGGAGTCCTACAGGTAAGTCTCAGGGAGATAATTCATTTTCCAAAAGCACCAGAACTACAGACTGTTTAAGAACAGAACATGTGGAGTTTTAATTACTAATGTGCTTGGCACAGTGGCTGCCCACAAGGACTCCAGAGGCAAAGTAGGAAGTTTCACAGAGTGCGTCATTGACTTTTAAACCTTAGACCGAGGATTAAAATATTTATTTTAAGCAGAATTGGAAGTGTTAACTTAGTGCAATTGCAGAAGCAACAGCAAGGCATCCATGCCTCCAGCCAACTATGCTCATCCATGCCTGGGATTTCAAAAATTCCTTTGGTTCTTTGTCAACTACTGAGATTCTGATACCTTGAATGGGAGAATAAGTCATTAGGCCTTATCAGTTATTTACATGTTGTGAATGTACCCCAGTGTGAAAGAACTGATCCTAAAGCATTTTATTCTGGCCCTTGGAGAATATAGTATAAGGGAGATCAAAGAACCTGAAGTGAGTGAAGAGAAGTGAGAGGGGACAAAGGCATTTTTATAAAAGATGGAGAGATGAAGAGACTAAAGACTCTAATTCAAATTTCACATAGGAACACATCAAAGTGAAACAGAAAAGTTCTCTGACCCCATCGCAGGATGTATGACAGGGATACTGTTCATTTATTTGGTCACCATGCCCAAATCCCTTAAGGAAGGAGGAGCATACAGGTGAGCTGGGGTGAGTGCTTTTGGGCTCTGGCCCCACAGCAGTGCTGGGGTGTTGCAATGCTCCTTTAGCCCTGTCGTCCAGGGATGGCTTAAGTGTTAAACAGTGAAGAGTCAGTGTGACAGCCTTTCTGAGTTCCTGCACCCTGTGGGTCCTGAATTCTTGTCCAGCATCCAAGAAGAATCAGGATGATAAATGCAGGGATTTTACTGAGTGATGGAGGTGGCTTTCAATGAAATGGGGGAGCTGGAGAGGGGATGGAGTGGGAAGATGATCTTTCCCTGGAGTTTGGCTGTCCCATGATCTAACTCATCTATGACTGTCCCCAGCTAAACTTCTCTCGACATTCTCCTCCCGACATTCAGATGCTTCCTCTCTTTTCTCCTTCTCTGCCTTGCCACTCTGCTGCTCTGCCTTTCTCCTGCTCTTCTGCTCATGGAGCCTGGGGTTTGAGGTTTACATGGGTACAGGGTAGGGGGACATGGTGGGCCAAAATACAACATTTGCGCATGAAAACAAGAATGCCTGTTCTCATTTAGGGTTGCAGGTCCAGACTTGAGGGGGGAGCCCTCGCCAGGGACCCCACCCTCTAGCCTCCTGTTCGTATCAAAGTTTCAAAGGACACTATCAAGAAAGTGAAAAGACAACCCACAAAATGAGAGAAAATCATATCTGCTAAGGATCTAGTATCCAGAATATATGAAAAATTCTTACAACTCAACAACAAAAAGATCAAAAACCTGGCTAAAAAATAGGCAAAGGACTTGAACGAACATTTCCTAAAAGAAGATATACAAATGGCCAGTAAGCACATGAAAATAGTGCCTAATATTGTTGATCATTAAGAAAACACAAATCAAAATCACAACAAGGTGCTACTTCACAGCCACTAGAATGTCTATAATCAAGAAAACAAA